CTTTTGAAAAAAATTAAAAGGAACAGATTTGTACATTCATAGACTCATAGAACTGTCATCTAGTTCAACCCCCTGCAATGCAGGAATCACAGCTAAAGCGTCGTCATTACAGATCCACAATTTCTGCTTACATCTTTAAAATAAGACAAGCCAATAGTGTTGCCAGTACCCAGACCCTGTTTGAACCAAAAGACGTGGGTGGCACTGTGGTTTAAACCACTGAGTCTCCTGGGCTTGCCGATCAGAAGGTCGGCGGTTCGAATCCCTGTGACGGAGTGAGCTCCCGTTGCTCTGTCCCAGCTCCTGCCAACCTAGCAGTTCGAAAGCACACCAGTGCAAGTAGATAAATAGGTACCACTGTAGCAGGAAGGGAAACGGTGTTTCCGTGCGCTCTGGCACTCATTACAGTGTCCTGTTGCGCCAGAAGCGGTTTAGTCCTGCTGGCCACATGACCCGCAAAGCTGTCTGTGGACAAATGCCGGCTCCCTCGGCCTGAAAGCGAGATGAGCGCTGCAACCCCATAGTCGCCTTTGACTTAAGGATCCAGGGGTCCTTTACCTTTACCTTTTTAACCTGTTTGAACAGGCCAATTGCCCACCTAGCCCCAAATCCTGTTCTCACAGTGGCCAGCCCAATGCCCCTGGAAAGCCTGCAAGTAGAATCCAGACACAACACCACTCTTCCCTCTAGTGATTCCCACAGGTTGGTACTCCGATACATGTGGCCTCTGATACTGGACCTTTTTTATATCCCTTGCCTTCATTTATTGCTGAACAGCAGGGGGCGCACATGCACACACAGGGCTGTGATTCCTGCCTTGCCTTGCCTGGGGTTGGGCTAGATGACTCTGTGGGTCCCTTCCAACTCTACTTCAACAGAGAGAGCATTTCGTGGAGCGGTATAGAAAAATGTGCAAACAAATAATTGACGCATTTTTGTATTTTACACCATGGCGTTGTGCTCTTTCTTAAGATGCCTTGACTGCAGTTTGTAGATAGGTGGTGTACAAGTCATGGCAAATAAATTCGTACGGAGGGCTGGTTCTCATCGAAGTTGTGGGCCCTTGAGCAAAGCACAATTGTACAGTGGTGCCTCGCAAGACAAAATTGATTCGTTCTGCGAGTTTTTTCGTCTTGCGAATTTTTCGACTTGCGAAGCACGGTTTCAAAAGAAGTTTTGGAAAAGCTTCAAAAATCACCAAAGTCTTCAAAAACCTCAAAAAAGGCTACCACACCGCGTGCAACTGCACCTCTTCAAGCAGTGCACCCTGGGTATTAACGGTTTTAAGAAAAAGGAAACAAACTTGCAAGACGTTTTCGTCTTGCAAAGCAAGCCCATAGGGAAATTCGTCTTGCGAAGCAACTCAAAAAACCAAAAACCCTTTCGTCTTGCGAGTTTTTCATCTTGCGAGGTACCACTGTATTTTGATTACACACAAGTATCTAATTTTTCACCATCTCCTTACCTCCTTTTTTTTCTTAAGGGAGACAGTGGGGCTTCAATCTGGATCAGGGACTCATTCCAGTTTCCCACTGAAAACCTCCCGTGCAATCACTTACCTGTTTGCTGTACATGCTGTCCTTCTGCACATGTCTTCCAAAGGTAGCAAGATAATAATGAGCCTGAAATCAGAACTCAGAGAGCGATCGCTGAAACTCCCATGCAGATCTCCTTAGGGCAGTGTTTCCCAACCTTTTTTGGGCAAAGGCACACTTGTTTCATGAAAAAAATCTCGAGGCACACCACCATGCCAGATGGGGAAAGGTCACTTTTTACTTATGTAAAAAATAAATAAAAAAATAGTAACAGCATAGAAGGTAATGGTAGATGACTGTTAGGGTCTCCCCCCAAATGCAGAATTCTATTAATATCTTCCTTAGCGAGCCGCGTTAACCCCTGTAATGCTTTCTATAGAGTAAGCATAGGGGACACTGGGGGATGTGGAACCAAGGGGGCAGTGGGCCAAAAGAGTTCGGGATCTACTGCTTTAAACAGAAATAAGAGCCAGTGGGTTCTTCCTTTTTTAAAGTATCGTTTCAGCGGGGACAGCAGTCCGGATTTCCAAAAAGCGGCGCTTTTTTGCGTCTGAGCAAAGAAGAGAGAGAGGGGAAAAAAGAGAGAGAGATTGATTTGTGGCTGCGCAAAGGGGGGAGGAGTCCAGGAGTAAAAGTAGGAAGGACGAAGGGAGGGGAAAGGAAAGTTAATAGAAGGAAAGGCAGGTGGGAGAGAAAGAGAAAGAAAGAGGGAAGGAAGGGGGGAAGAGAAGTGGAAAGGAGGGAGACCGAGGCGGGGGAGAAGCGTCTGGAGAGTTGCTCCGAAGTTTGGGGGGCCGCGGGGGTGGGCGCGCGTCCCAGGAGGCGGAGGCCAGCCCGGGCTGGGAGCCGCGCCGCGGCCCGGGGGCGGTAGGCGGACCGCGGCTCCTAGGATGTGGAAAGGGGACGGCGGCGCAGGGGGAGGAGACCCGCATGGCTAGGGCAGCGCGCAGGGGGAGGGGAGCGGGCCGGAGGCGGGCGAGGGGGGCCGCGATCCCGCGCGCCGCGAACATGGCCTCCTTCCCCGCGGGCCCCGCCGAGCCCCCCGGCTGGGGAGGGCGGCGCGCCCCCACCGCCGGAGGAGAGCAGAGGCATGAGGAGGAGGATGAAGGCGCTGCCGAGGAGGCGCGCCAACTTCTGCCAACTTCGGCGCCCGCCCCGTCGCCGCAGGCTCCTCCCGGCCGAGAGCCAGAGGACGGCGGCGGAGCAGGAGGAGGAGGATCGGGTTTGGCGACGGCTGCTGCGTCCTCTCCAAGCGCGGGGCTGGCCTCCGCCGTGCCCGATCCTCCGCGCTCGCCGCGCTTCTCGGCGGAGCAGGTCTCGTGCGGGTGCAAGGCGCTGCTGCAGGCGGGCGACCCCGGCCGGCTGGGCCGCTTCCTGGGCTCGCTGCCGCCCGACGCCGAGGCGCCGTGCCTGGAGGCGCAGGCGGGCGAGAGCCTGGCCAAGGCGCGCGCGCTGCTGGCCTTCCAGCGCGGCGACTTCGCCGAGCTCTACCGCCTGGTGCAGAGCCGGCGATGGGATGTGGGAGGGAGCTCGCTCGCCGCCCTGCGTGTGCCTATGTGGGGCACGTTACAGCCCCGTGACGTCAGCGCCACGCAGGCAGCCAGGCAGGCAGACGGCGAGAGCCCCGCGCTGGGCGGCCTCTCCTCGCCGCCCCGCCTCTCGCCGCCCGACTCGCCCGCCTCCCTCCCACGGCACACCAGGCAACGTCTCGCGGCACACTAGTGTGCCGCGGAACACCTGTTGGGAAACACTGCCTTAGGGGAGCATTTGCCAATGAGGACAGAATTTCCCACTAGGGGGTGCCCATGTCATTCTAGGCTTTTTGCATACTGCTAAGAAAAAAAACACAGAACCCTAGAGTTGGGACCCAAGGGTCATCTAGTCCAACCCCCTGCACTGCAGGAATCTTTTGCCCAACATAGATCTTGAACCCACAACAACCCTGACCTGAGATTAAGATTAAGAGTCTCATGCTCTACCGACTGAGCTATGCCAGAGTATTTGAAATAAAACACATCTGCTCCCTTGCTTTTTTTGCTATATATCCATTCAACCACATTTGCTGCAGCAGATCAGAAAGTCTTGGTGTTGAAAAGCCCAAGAGGCCTCTGGGAGATGAACGCATTGCTTCCATTCCAGGGTTTGAAGTAGGAGCATCAAAAAGAGTTAGATATAGTTCCGTTCCACCTTTAGAACAGGCATGTGGAGTTTTGCTGTATGTCACATGTCTGTTTACTTCCAGCACAGTCTGCTGGGAACTTCCGTTGTATATAGCTTTTGCCTACGTTTTTTGCTAGGATACGAAGGGAAGCAGCCATGTTTTTCCTTTGTTCTGATGCTGAATAAATGCTTGTAAATATGCTTACATATGCCTTTGTCCGCCCTTCCGTTGCAAAGAGTTCTTACCTCTGCTAGCTTGCGTGCTCAGTCTCTAAAGGTCTCTGAGGCTTGAATCACAGTTTTGATGCTGTTCCGAGAACCAGAGTTTGCCCAGCTGCTGGCCGGTGGGCTGGAGCCAGCTGGGGGCCTGCCAATTGCCCCCATCTCCCCGGACGCATCCCAACAAACAGGACCTCAAGTTTCATCTCTGGAAACGAAACATAGGTGGAAAGATGGTGCGTCTCCCTGGATCCTCGCCATCTTCTACTGAGTGGCTGGGGAAGGTGTTTAAGCACAGCTCTGGTTTGGACGACACACCGAGCCAAACCTTGGCTTGGCTGTCATGCCACACTTAGCTAAAAGGACCAGAGGGGAGCAAAAGTCACTGTGCTCTACTCTCCAGAAAGTAGCCAGCAAATTTCTGTGGCTGGACTTATTGTTCTGTGCAGATGTGTCCATTGTGGCTTGATTGCCTCTTATTTTGCCATGGCCAAACACTCAAATATTCTAGGAAGCCCAGGGTCCCTGTGTTTGCTTAAAAAGAGGACTGATATATATGTTTAACCTTGTTTTTTTTAAAACATTTACACGTGTGTGAGGGCGTGTATCTATAACCTTTAGGTTAGATTACTGCAGTGCATTATATGTGGGTCTGCCTCTGAAGGTAGTTCGGAAACTTCAGCTGGTGCAGAATTTGGCAGCCAGGTTTCCAGTTGCTTTCTGGGCCCAACTCAAAGTGCTGGTTTTGACCTATAAAGCCTTAAACGACTCAGGACTGCAATACCTCAAGGACCGCCTCTTTCCATATGACTCTACCCGGACCCTGAGATCATCTTCTGAGGTCCTTCTTCATGTGCCTCCTCCATGAGAGCTCTGGAGGGTGGTGACATGGGTACAGGGCCTTTTCAGTGGTAGCTCCCCGTTTGTGGAATGCTCTCCCCAGGGAGGCTCACATGGCGCCATCATTAGGCTCCACCAGGCAAAAACATTCCTCTTCTCCCAGGCCTCTGGCTGATTAAACAATTGCTGCCCTTTTAAATGTGTCTGTCGGGGTTATTTTATTAGTAGTAGTATTATGTTAGGTATTTTGTGTTTTTATGTTGTAAACTGCCCTTTGAATGAAGGGCAATATATCAATTTTAATAATAATAATAATGCGCTTGTGTGCACACATGCAAAGAGAACATGAGGGTTTTTAGGGTGAGGTCTCTGTTTGCATACATGCACACATATAACACAATGTCGTTCCCCTCCACGTCAAATAAATAAACACAGAACATTGTTTTTAAATACTTATGTATGTTTTATTTAATTTATTATTATTATTTTTAAAAAGGTATAACTGTTTGGTTATCCCTGGGATAACAAATGCCAGAAGAAACTGTTCCCTAACTCTACCCATACTCATCCGTGTGTGTACAATATCAGTCTCTCCGCTAAACAAAAATTAAAGGAAGTTTGCCAGCCCTTAAGAAAAATTCCCACATCCACAACTGGGCCTCGCCTTTATTAGGACCCAGCAAAGTGTCACAATAGGAAGCAAGCCTTCAAGTTTCCCAGAACTTTTCCTAAGTTGCAATGTTAAAAAGGAGGAGGTCTGGGTGAGCACTGAAAAAAACTGTCTTGATGTTGTGGCCACAGATATCTGATGTCGAGCAAGCAAACTTCTGCCTGCATGCTGATGTGACTTCTCCTTCCTCTTCACCCCCTTGCAGCCCCCCTGCCCAGCCAGATCTGCTTTGGGGGGTCCCCAAAGCCCCCAGTGCACAGGAAGGGATTTAGCAGCCTGAGAGAATGGGGCTTAGCAGGCTGGTGGGGTTGGGGTGTGTGTGTGTGTGTGTGTGTGTGTGTGTGTGTGTGTGTCTGCATTGCAAGCCGTGAACAGCATCATTTTTTACCCTGATCATTAGTGCGGCGTATCCTTTACGATCGCTCCCATGGGGAGCGCAATTTGGACTGCTGAGTCGCTGGCAAATTCATCATTTCTGTCCCGCTGGGGACGGTGATGATGATGGTGGTGATGATACGACGCCTGCCTTTTTGCATTCTGCCAAACGGAAGGACCTTCGCTAAGAAGCCTTTTGAAAGCTTACATTCCCTCAGCTGGAGGGCAGGAAATAATCAGAGCGCATCAGCTCTCTGGCCTGGGGGATTGCGCCAGGCTCTGACTCTCCTCCTCAGTCTGGAAAGCTGTTTGGTCTAAGAGCGCAGCAGAGGGCAGGCTTAGGTCAAAAGGCGGGGAGGGGGGAGAGAAAACCCACCCACCTCTGTTTATCGCTGGCAGCCAGCTTCCTGCGCTGTCGGGAAAGAGGCCACTGGGTGCAACGTTCATTCGGTAAAGGAAGTGCTTTCAAAGCCCCTTTCTGCCCCTGCTGCAATAGTAGTTGTGCAGAAGAGAATTTTGGCAAAGCGCAGCTTCTCTCGTCGTCGTCTGGGAGCAACGGGACAAACCGCGCCGGCCAAAACCCTTCCTTCGGTCCAACTGTTGGCGTCTCTGCTCATCTACGAACAACTGCTTTGTTCCACTCCATCCTGCTATTTTCGCTTCTCTCGATCGCACCCACCTACACTCGCAACTGAGAGACCTGGCGCGCCATCTGGGCGAGGGAGCATTTGTTGTGCAAGAACCACCTCCATTTTGGCTAAAAAATAAAGAAAAAGGCAACCACTTGGTTGTGATTTCTGGAACGGCTGAAGTCCCTGAATTGTTCTTCCTCGGGATAATAGAATCATAGAAATGTAGGGTTGGAAGAGATCCTAAAGGGTCATCTACTTGAACCCTGTGCAATGAAAAAAAAATATCCCCAAAGAATCATCTGTTTCTGGGAAGCCCTGGCTCTTACTCCTCAGCCGGACACTGAAAATGCGCCTGGCATTTTTTACCATCTGAACCTGCAAGAAGTCCCTTGTGGCCTGCTCTCCTAACAGTTTCCTTGGTTTCAGCGAGTGGAAGGGACTGAGGTGGGTGGCTACTCGTGGGTGCTGCCGGTTTCTCAGCCGAGCGCATTTCGTGGTGCCAGGAGAATGGAACAGCCCTTGCCAGGTTTCGACTCCAACCAGTCCGATGTGCTAAGCTTCTGTGCTTTCCCCCCAAAAAATGCCTGGAAGAGGGGTCATTTCAAACACCCAGGGAGGCAGGAGAATGTCTGCTTCATCCGCAGCAGAAAGGGGTCCGTGTGCTTGGCTCCTCTCTCCTTTGGCACCAGGGTCTGCGGAGCCCCCTCTCTCCTGGGGACCAGGTGCCTTTTCCCAGGTGGGAGCAGGGTTCTGATGTCCTCTTCGTCACTAAAAGGCGATGCTCCATACTTGCGCTCAAGTCTCCGGTGGATCTGTCAACGAGAAAAAGGGGCGGGGAGTGGTGAGCGAGCGTTCCTCCCAAAGGAACCGGGGCCAGCAAACAACAGAGTAGTAAAACAATACCAATAAAAAAGAAAATAAAAACCTATTTAAAAACAGGACAGTTTGCAAGACTCCCTTTGCCGTTCAGGCCACAGATGCATGTCTCGCAAAGAAGAGGGCAGTGAGGATGCATGCAATTACAATTACACCGTGCAAACATAGAATTTGCCTTTCAAAAAAGCCCAGCAAGTTACTAGCCCTTATGACTACGAAGGTAATCTTGGAACACATGCCAGTTAATCCCCGGGTATCACCTGGCATTGTATAGGTGACCACAAGGGAACCCCATCTGTGCCACATTGAAAAAAGAAAGGTGGAGTACAAAGGTAAGCAGTCCAACTCTGAGGGCTTTCTGGAGGTTCCCTCATTGCAAGAAGTGAAGCTACAGAGAACCTGGCAGAGGGCCTTCTCGGTGGTGGCGCCCTCCCTGTGGAACGCCCTCCCTTCAGATTCAGGTAGGTAGCCATGGTGGTCTGATGCAGTAGAAATATATATAAAAATTAAAAAATTGTCTAGTAGCACCTTAAAGGTAAAGGTAAAGGGACCCCTGACAATTAGGTCCAGTCATGACCGACTCTGGGGCTGCGGCGCTCATCTCGCTTTATTGGCTGAGGGAGCCGGCGTACAGCTTCCGGGTCATGTGGCCAGCATGACTAAGCCTCTTCTGGCAAACCAGAGCAGCGCACGGAAACGCCGTTTACCTTCCCGCCGGAGCGGTACCTATTTATCTACTTGCACTTTGACGTGCTTTTGAACTGCTAGGTTGGCAGGAGCAGGGACCGAGCAACGGGAGCTCACCCCGTCGCAGGGATTCAAACCGCCAACCTTCTGATCGGCAAGTCCTAGGCCATCAACATCCCTTCAGATGTCAAGGAAATAAACAACTATCTGACTTTAGGCAGCCCTGTATAAGGAATTTTTAAATGTTTGATGTTTTATTATGTTTTTATATTTTGATGGAAGCTGCCCAGGGTGGCTGGGGCAGCCCTGTCAGATGGGCAAATTATTATTATTATTATTATTATTATTATTATTATTATTATTGACAATAAATAAGCAGACCCATCAGTCATGGCTCTATAATAAAAGCCGGAAGAACGACAGCATCAACAACAGCCACCAACTTTGCAGAGACTGAGAGGCGAGGGCTTTTGGGGCGAGGATAATGGCAAGTCAGAGATATGACATCATCATGCAAACTTTGTAAACAACCGTGAACTGGACCGCTCTCCACCCCTGTCATCTGTCATTTTCTGTCTCCAGCACACAAGACAAAAAGTAGATGATTGCAAGCATCCTATTTCCGTCTCCCGCTCAGAATCCTTTATTTCAAACACGCCCTTCCCCAGCATAAAGCTGTCCTTGCCTGTTCAGCGGGATGCAGGCCAGTGGCACGGCACCTGCTTGGCACACACAAGGTTCCAGGTTCAAATCCCCGGCATGGAGGGTAGAGACACCACCTGAGTGCCCAGGGAGCCAGTCGGCTGGATGGAGCTATGATCTGACCTGGTAGGAAGCAGGTTCCTATGTCTTAAGGGAAGGGTCGCAGTCATAGCTGTCAACTTACAGATTTGAAAATAAGGGACCAGCAGCCAAAATAAGGGACCTGCAGCCTCACCTGTTCCAGGCACTCCAGTCTTCCTGTCCTCCTGCAGTCTGGTCAAACTCATGCTGGTAGCTTCGAGAACACTGTCCAACCAACTTTGTAACCAGAGGTTCAACTGAATAGAATCTGAATCACATGCACCACAAGGCCTATGCAGCCTCAACTTAAGATGGCTCCCCGGTCTGGCTTTGCACTGCAAAGTTTGCAGCAGCATGTGCAACAAAATGGCGTCCAGCATTCAAAAAACCCCTCAGCTTGCATTAACTGGCCACACACAAGGCATGCAAGCTCCCAGTGATTCTTAGACTTCTTATTGGGTGAGCAACACAGCGCTGCAACCCCAGAGTCGGCCACGACTGGACCTAATGGTCAGGGGTCCCTTTATCTTTACCTTACAGTACATTGATTATTGCTTTCATTTTATGGATGAATGGTCTCGTTAGATAGTAAAATTCATGTTAAATTGCTGTTTTAGGGGTTGTTTTTAAAGTCTGGAATGGAATAATCCATTTTGCATTACTTTCTATGGGAAGGCGTGCCTTGGTTTTGGAATGCTTCGGTTTTGGAACAGACTTCCGGAACAGATTAAGTTTGAGAACCAAGGTACCACTGTATAGTATTCTCATCTCTCCCATCACTGCCACCTGCCAATCAGCACAGACAGTGCCAAGACAGAACAGTAACAGGCAAACTGCATCAGAAGGATTGATGGCATGTTTGGACCACCCTTCATTCTATAGGACCCCAGGGTTTGTGCAAATGACAGGTGATAAAACCATCAAAATATTAAGATTAACGCAGCATCCAAATGTTAAACCGTCTCTGGCTATGCCTAAACCTTTCGCAGGCACACCACATCACATTGTGTCTCCTGCTCTCACCTTCTTCACAGACCGGCTGCCCCCGTACTCCTCCAGCTGCTGACGGAAACCTGGGTTGGGATTGGCGACCGGCCGGGCTGCCTTGACGGCCTCCAGGGCGTCGTGCCAGTTCATCTGTGTCACGGCCATGACGTACGCGAGGACGATGGTGGTGCTGCGGGAGATCCCTGCGAGGCTGTGGGCAGACGGAGAAGCCATCAGAGACCTCTGCCTCCCCTCCCAGCCTGTCGCAAGGCCCTCTGCCTGCATTCCCACCCACCAACAGACGCAAAGCCACGCTTGGGACCTTCTCATGGGGTTGTTATTGGGGGACAATCCTAGAACCAACATGCTTAAGTCTGATCAGTGCATGAAGGGGTTAAAGCCATAGAGTCAGCTGTCCTGCCAGGCTTAGCTAGGTCACTCTCCCACTTCCCGGGAAGAAAGTAATCAAGCCTGTTGTTCCCCTTCGCATCTACCTGAGAAGCTCAGCATGTGAAGAGGCTAAGCTGGTTGCTGCAGCTCAGCCACATGGTTCTTACAAGCCATCCTTGCGTTCCTATACCAATAATTTAGGGACTTTCACCACTGTAACAAAGCCAAGTTTGACCACCTGTGTTTTCTGACTGCTGTGTGGGAAAGCACATGAATCTGACCTTTGGAGAGTTTGTAAGTAAGCCGTTTTTAACTTACCAAACGTCTGGTCTTTTCCTACGATGGGGGAAGAGGGGACTGTTTTGGCAGTCACATATTTGAATGTTGTGACAGCCTAGATTTCCACACTTTACTTGCTGCATGATTTGGGATTTTAAATCTCTGCTGGGGTTCTCTGGCCAAAGAGTACTTCCCTAAAGCCTGGATCTTGGCGTCCAGGCTTTTAAAACCTATTTTTCCTTGCCAGCCAAAATTTATGGAGCATGAACCTCACTTCTAGAAAAGCCCTGGACCTCGAGGCAGCACTAGAGGATCCCTGGCAGGGATATGGCTCAGTGTGACGGAAGGCAAATGGTGAGGGACACCCTTTCTGAAGAACATAAGAAGAGACCCAGTGGGACAGAAGGAGTGGGGCAGGGAAGCAGAAGGGCAAGGACCTGTACATGTGCTGCAGGGGGGCAAGACAGAATGGCTCTGTTACCCGCCCCCCCCAGAAGCCTTTATCCTCCAGGTGAGCAAATACATCAATTTTGCTTTCTAATCTTTTGGGACAAGTTACATCCCCACATTTCCATATCGGTTTATACAGTGGATGCTCGGGTTGCAAACATGATCCGTGCGGGATGCATGTTCGCAACCTGCAGTGTTCGCAACCCACAGCGCCGCATCTGCACATGCGTGGGTTGTGATTCGGCAGTGGTGTAGCGTGGGGGGTGCAGGGGGGGCCGGCCGCACCGGGTGCAACATCTGGGGGTTAGGGTTAGGGGGCGCAAATCCACAGGTTAGGGGGCGCAAATCCACAGGTTAGGGGGCACAAATTACTTGCCTTGCCCCGGGTGCTGACAACCCACGCTACGCCACTGTGATCCGGCACTTCTGCACATAGCGCAATTTAGCGCTTCTGCACATGCACGACCACTGAAACCCAGAAGTAACCCGTTCCAGTTCTTCCGGGTTTCGGCGGGTCCATAACCCAAAAAAAGGCATCCTGAAGCTTCTCTAACCTGAGGTATGACTGTGATTCTTTCTTTATTTTATTTTTTTAATCCTCATGGAAATTCTCCAGCGTTTCAATGCAAATTCTTCTAATATGCAGTTTTTAAATGCAATTTCCCCCAACATGCATTTTTTTTTTGGCAAATAAAATTTCCCCAATATGCATTCTTGTATTATATTTTTTTCACTAATATATGCAGTTATATGCACCATTTACTGTGTGTGCAATTTTAGTACACATCGCTGAAATGTGCAAAATCTGGAGAAGCATCCGTTTCAAAGGATGGCTATTATTCCCATTTGCCAAATGTTTCAAAAAGTGCAGAAAGTGCTGAGCCTCCCTCCAAGTGGTGTTGGACTCCAACTCCCATCAGCCCCAGCCAACATAACACAGTGCTCAGGGATGATGGGAGTTGTAGTCCAGCAACATCTGGCAGACCATAGTGGGCTCTGCAGGCGTCCTGTTTCTCCCAGGGACCCACCAGGTACCCCCCTCCCGAAAGCCCACAAGAGCCGAGTGAAACAACCCCCCAAAAGTCAACCTACCAGTGAACGAGGCAGTTCCCTCCATGCAGGCGACAGGAATGGATGAAATGGATGCATTTCTTGAAGTGCTTCTTGCTGGAAGGACAAAAACAAAGCCAAAACAGGGTTCAATGCCAGGGTACCAGATTTCAAGAGCAGACTCTGTACAACCTTAGCCCCAAAAGACCATGGGATGGAATAGAATCAGAGAACTGTCCCCATGGATCTTCTAGTCCAACTTCCTGCAGTGCAGGAATAACTCTGACTAGTTCTCAAAAGTTAAAGCTATGGTTTTCCCAGTAGAATCATAGAATCCTAGAGTTGGAATAGACCACAAGGGCCATCGAGTCCAACCCCCTGCCAAGCAGGAAACACCATCAGAGCACTCCTGACATATGGTTGTCAAGCCTCTGCTTAAAGACCTCCAAAGACGGAGACTCCACCACACTCCTTGGCAGCAAATTCCACTGTCGAACAGCTCTTACTGTCAGGAAGTTCTTCCTAATGTTTAGGTGGAATCTTCTTTCTTGTAGTTTGGATCCATTGCTCCGTGTCCGCTTCTCTGGAGCAGCAGAAAACAACCTTTCTCCCTCCTCTATATGACATCCTTTTATATATTTGAACATGGCTATCAAATCACATAGTGATGTGTGGAAGTGAGAGCTGGACCATAAAGAAGGCTGATTGCCAAAGAATGGATGCTTTTGAATTATGGTGCTGGAGGAGACTCTTGAGAGTCCCATGGGCTGCAAGAAGATCAAATGCATCCATTCTGAAGGAAATCAGCCCTGAGTGCTCACTGGAAGGACAGATCCTGAAGCTGAGGCTCCAATACTTTGGCCTCCTCATGAGAAGAGAAGACTCCCTGGGAAAGACCCTGATGTTGGGAAAGATGGAGGGCACAAGGAGAAGGGGACGACAGAGGACGAGATGGTGGGACAGTGTTCTCGAAGCTACCAGCATGAGTTTGACCAAACTGTGGGAGGCAGTGGAAGACAGAAGTGCCTGGCGTGATCTGGTCCAGGGGGTCACGAAGAGTCGGACACGACTAAACAACAACAAGCTCTCAAAAAATAACTCTTACTATGCCCCATCACCCCACATGGAACTTCTTCTCTGCCCCTCTCCTCCCCATAGGGTTTGGATCTGAAGCATTTCAGCTTGAAGCTGCACTTTCAGTCACAATAGATCCAAAACTTCCTGACCTGGTTTTTGTTTCTTGCGCAAACTCAAAAGTTGCAGGACTGGAGTGAAGTGATACCGTCAAGATCTTCCTCCAGGCCATGGGATTATATAAGTGATCGTGTTTACTGGGACTCTGCACGTGGCTGAGTGTCAGGTCTGCGGTGTGTTACATGCGCGTTCCTCAATGCACCAGTTTCAGTTTTGCAGTTGGTGGCAGAGGAAGAGAACACAAGCATGGCCGCGATTGTGCAAAACATGTGGCAGACCCCAACCCAGATTCCCAACATCTCCAACTTCTGTCTCGTCAGGATTCAGTTTCAGTTTATTCATTCGTTTCCTGAAACACCATTTCTCCCCTTCTTTTCTCAACAGTGGCGCCCTCCCTGAGGAATGCCCTCCCATCAGATGCCAAGGAGATAAGTACCGCATTTTTTGCTCTATAAGACTCACTTTTTCCCTCCTAAAAAGTAAGGGGAAATGTGTGTGCGTCTTATGGAGCGAATGCAGGTTGCGCAGCTATCCCAGAAGCCAGAACAGCAAGAGGGATTGCTGCTTTCACTGCGCAGCGATCCCTCTTGCTGTTCTGGCTTCTGAGATTCAGATTTTTTTTCTTCTTGTTTTCCTCCTCCAAAAACTAGGTGCGTCTTGTGGTCTGGTGCGTCTTATAGAGCGAAAAATAACTTTTAGAAGACATCTGAAGGCAGCGCTGTTTAGGGAAGTTTTAAAATGTCTGCTGTTCTATTATGTTTTACATGTGCTGGACGCTGCCCAGAGTGGCTGGGACATCATCATCATCATCATCATCATTATTATTATTACTACCATTACTTACATGTTGGCCTCTGGTGTGTCTGGCAGAGCAATGCGGAGGTAGATGATTCCCTGGAAAAACAAAGACCCAATGACTGAGATGAGGCTCCCAGGAGGAAAGGCAGCAGTTCAACAGGTGCAGCGCCTGCCATAAAGTCCCAGGTTCAATCCCGCAAGGCATCTCCAGGTAGGACTGGGAAAGTCCCCTCCCTGAAAGTCTGGGGAGCTGCTGCCAGTCCGTGCAGACAATACTGACCTCAATAGACCAATGACTTGACTCATTAAAAGACACTTTCCTAGGTTCCCTTGTATATGAGCTGAGTTCAGGAGGAATTCCAAACATTTTCTTTATATCTTGCTCTGCGGAGCTGGAGGTGATCCAAGGGGGATTAAACTTTGGGTCTTTTGCATTGCACCCCAGTTCTCCTTCTGCCCAATTTAACTGTTCTTTCTTTTTTCTTAAAAGGCTGATTGGGAGGGGCCATAGATCCATGGTAGAGGAACACAGAAGCAGCAGAAGTTGAGTTATACAAAGTCAGCTCATTGGTCCACTTGGCTCTATATTGTCTACACTGACTGGTAGCAGCTATCTAGAATTTCTTTATTTCCCTTTTTTAATTATTAATTTTATTAGTATTCTCCACACAACAACAACAACAAATGAAAAATAACAATACACAAAAACAAGCATACAAAAATATATCCAAATCTTACAAAATAATAACATGAACACTAAAAGAAAAACAAACATTGGCTTCCACCAGTCCCACAGCACCTCCTTTACCTCTCCTTGTGTCTTCCTGTTTTCCTTATCGTCTCTATCCCAGCATCTAGATATAAATCCCTCTTTCTTATCCTTTCACTTCCCAAGGTTATTCCAGATACAGCCAGATTTCTGTCCTCGAACCTTGGCTTTTAAGGTACTCATTTAGGCACTCCCGTTCCTTTTTCATTCACTTTTTGGTTTTTGTCTTATTATATCTGTCAATTTGGCTAATTCTAAATATTCTGAAAGCTTACATAACCACTCTCCCCTAGTGGGTAGCTGATTCCCTTTCCAGTACTTAGCCACCAGGATTCTTGCTGCAGACGTCGCGTATAAGAAAAATTTAGTTTTATCTTTTGGAATATCATCATTTAAAATTCCTAAGAGGATTTCAGACAGGGAATCTGTCTGGAGATTCCGGGAATTGAATTTGGACCTTTCTGCTTATAACTCCAGCCCTAGCAGCTGGATTGAGCCTGGGTAAGAGGAGACTGAGAGGAGATATGATAGCCATCTGCAAATATCTGAAGGGCTGTCACATGCAAGAGGGAACAAGCTTGTTTTCTGCTCTCGAGGTTAAAACCTAGACCAAAGGATTCATGTTACATGAAAGGAGATTCCGGCTAAACAGCAGGAAGAACTTTCTGATGGTAAGGGCTGCTCAATAGTGGGACCGTCTTCCTCAGGAGGTTGTGGGCTCTCTTTCCTTGAAATGCAGATTAAAACTCACACCAACTTTCTAAACTTTAAAGGTAAAGGGAAATTGTACCCCTGACCATTAGGTCCAGTCACGGATGACTCTGGGGTTGCACGCTCATCTTGCTCTATAGGCCAAGGGAGCCGCCGTTTGTCCCCAGACAGCTTCTGGGTCATGTGGCCACTAAGCCACTTCTGGCGAACCAGAGCAGTGCACGGAAATGTCATTTACCTTCCCGCCGGAGCGGTACCTATTTATCTACTTGCACTTTGACGTGCTTTTGAACTGCTAGGTTGGCAGGAGCAGGGACCGAGCAACGGGAGCTCACCCCGTTGCGGGGATTCGAACCGCCAACCTTCTGATCGACAAGTCCTAGGCTCTGTGGTTTAGACCACAGCGCCACCCGCACCCCAGATTCTAAGCTTTAAAGGTAAAGGGACCCCTGACCATTAGGTTCAGTCGTGGCCGACTCTGAGGTTGCGGCACTCATCTTGCTTTATTAGCCGAGGGAGCCGGTGTACAGCTTCTGTGTCATGTCGCCAGCATGACAAAGCCACTTCTGGCGAACCAGAGCAGCGCACGGAAACACCGTTTACCTTCCCACCAGAGCGGTACCTAATTATCTACTTGCACTTTGATGTGCTTTTGAACTGCCGACCTTCTGATCGGCAAGCCCTAGGCTCGACTTCCGGGTTAGCGCGGACAGCTAATGGCGGATTCCCTCCGAGCTCCGGAGGGAATCGGCTCCGCTGGAGACGGGTCCTGCCGCGACGGCGACGCGGAGACCCTCAAAAACCACAGGCGCGGATGCCTGCGGACCTGGTGTCTCGGTGGGCACCTTAAACACCCCCTCTGACCCACGAAGAGCCTTTTTAAAGGCTTCGGAGAGGGTACGGAGAGCGGCGCGGTGCTGAGAGTAGACCGCTACTCCAGTGGAGCGAAGCCGCGTGCCATGGCTGAAGAGCGCTGACTTTTTTCCCTGAATTCGGCTGGAAAAGAAGCAACCCGTGAGTAAAGTGGAATTGGGACTTTAAAATATTTATTTCTGAATTCGGTACGACCGGGGGTGTGTTAAAGGGAAGTCCGCACCCCCCCCCCATTGCAGACGATCTAAAGCAACAATAGAAGAACTAAGCTGGAGAGCCTACCCTTTGCGGGGTGAGTTAAAAAAGACATTAACTTCCAAGATTTGGTAAAAAGAAATTTTGAGCTGGAGTGAAAGAGTGGAATCTTAGAAGCTTTCTTTTTGTTGTGTACAACCCCCCTCCCGGGCCCGGGAGCGTCCTGTGTTTAAGCGTATGGAAGAGGAATACGGAGTTTGACAGCTGTCAAAAGCTGTCAAACGGACAGTTTAAAGCTGAAAAAATTGTTATTTAAGATCCCTCTGGATTAAAATGAGTTACAATTGAACTAAAATCGTTGGAAACAAAGAAACAATAACGAGTCAGAGGTTTGTTGGAGAAAGATTATTAAGTAACCAGATTCCCTCTGTGATATTACAATGGCTGCGGATGGAAAGTTACTAGCGGAAATCGAAAGAATGTTTTACTTGGTGGGAATCTTACAAGAGCAGAGTCTGGCTATGAATAAACAACTCATGACCTTGACCTCTGGAATAAGCAGCTCTGCTGAATGTATTGAGGACTTGAATGAGAAAGAATCTGCAGCTGGATTAGAAATGATATCTCAAGAAGTGGAGGAGACTAAACAAGGAAAAGAGAAAGCAAAGATGGAAAGTACCAATCAGAAGCTTACACTAGTGGAGTACAAGCAAAGAGACTTTGGGATCACATTGATTACAAATCTGCGAAAGATGCAAAAGACGAAGGAGGAGGCCCCTGGAGTATATGGAATACAGGTACTTAAAACAAAGAAGAAATTTGATTGGGGCCCCCACTCTGACTCTGAAGATGCATGGCCTGTGGAACTTTTGCAGCAGTTGTTCCTAAATATCCTTGTGGGAAGAGAACCTGGTTTGATGGGGATAGAACTCCTTCGAGATTCGACGACCAACATAAAGGACTACCAACAAGACCGGCGGAGAGGGACTGAAATAAACTTGAAAGCCTCGGACGTGAGGAATCCAGGCTAGAATGGTTATTTTGGACACGTATTGGGGAAGGGACGAAAACCGGGGATGGGAGGGAGGGAAGAATAGAACTTTAAAAACATTTATGACTTTTGGGTTTAGTTAATATGACTTTTATCTAATACAAAGTGGGAAATCGATGGAAGGGAATTTGAGTCCAACTTAGGAAAAAAAACTTATTTTTTCATAAAAGATGTAATATTAAGATGGTAAAGAGGAGAAATAATAATTTGCTGACACAATTATGGGAATTGGGATGCATGAAGGGGGGTGGGGGGAAGTCAAGGAACAAGGTTAAGAAAGTAGGATTTTTTGAAACTATACATGTTCTTGTCTTTGTCTTTTTTGTGTTGGAAAATTAATAAAAATTATTTTTTAAAAAAAGGCAAGCCCTAGGCTCTGTGGTTTAGACCACAGCGCCACCCGCATCCCAAATTCTAAACTTTAGGCTTGTCTAAATAAGAATGTTTTTAGCAGGTGCCAAAAAGAGTACAGGGAACGTGCCTGCTTGATCTCAATAGTGTGCTCCCATACAGCTCCCATGGGACACGGGTGGCACTGTGGGTTAAACCACAGAGGCTAGGACTTGCTGATCAGAAGGTTGTTGATTCGAATCCCCACGTCGGGGTGAGCTCCCATTGCTCGGTCCCTGCTCCTGCCAACCTAGCAGTTCGAAAGCACGTCAAAGTGCAAGTAGATAAATAGGTACCACTCCGGCGGGAAGGTAAATGGCGTTTCCCTGCGCTGCTCTGGTTTGCCAGAAGCGGCTTAGTCATGCTGGCCACATGACCCGGAAGCTGTACGCCGGCTCCCTCGGCCAATAAAGCGAGATGAGCGCCGCAACCCCAGAGTCGATCACGACTGGACCAAATGGTCAGGGGTCCCTTTACCTTTATACAGCTCCCAAAGGAGGAGGAATTTCCAGCGGATTGGGACCCAAGGATTAGCTCTGTCTGCTGCTTTACCACCCCCAGTGATGTCCAAAATCCACTGTTGGAGGCCACAGCCTTGCATTGTCTCAGAGTAGCGCACTGAAACCCCCTCCCTGCCTCCAATAAAAACCCAACTCACTCATACCGGAATATATGGCTGTGCGGATTCATGGATGGAGACGATGTGGGTGATATTGTGCCTGCTCAGCTGGTCAAAGTCTTTGGCATCTAGGAGAAAGTGGAGGAGGAACACAGTGTGATTGTTTCAGTCGTCCTTATTTATTACCCACCAAGCAACTTAGGGATGTGAATGCACAAACTGCTGATTGCCTGGCAAACCAGAATATGCAGAATCGCATGCTGAAGTCATGTGCCCTCGCTTCAGTGCCAGACGACAGCAAAAGAACAAACGCTCAGTCTAACAAATTCTTGGATCCTGAAACAAGGAGAACATTCATTGCAACCTCTAAACCCGTTCATGCTCAGGGACGATGTGAGCTGCAGACGAGCAACACCTGAGGGATAGCACAGTCTGTAGAGCATGAGATTCTTCATCTCAGCGCTGTGGGTTTGAGCCCCACATTGGGCAAAAGATTTCTGAATTGCAGGGGGTTGGACTAGATGACCCTCAGGGTCCCTTCCAAGTGGAAGTCCAAATATCCCCACACCTCCTCTGAACAATGGCCATCTAATGCTTTTGCCAGAAATAATGACTCAGAGCATTAAACATTAAGTTTAAGCAGGCCTCTCAAGTGGACGCCATTGCCATTCTAAGAGAACAAGGGAGATATTCACAGTGAAGTCCAGCACCTCTTTTTCTAGAAAAATAGCACTGTGTTTAAGGGCTTATCCAAACTTTGCTTTCCTCCGCTCTTTCCAGGAATGGTCTGAACCAGTGGCGTAGCGTGGGTTGTCAGCACCCAGGGCAAGGCAAGTAATTTGCGCCCCCTAACCCGTGGATTTGCGAACCCTAACCCGTGGATTTGCGCCCCCTAACCTGTGGATTTGCCCTAACCCCAGATGTTGCGCCCGGTGCGGCCGGCCCCCCCTGCACCCCCCACGCTACGCCACTGGTCTGAACACTCTTTTTTTGGCTCCGGAACTTTCCCCACAAAAACCTGCTCTTTAAAGCCCAATCAGTGCAAACACCAGTCCGTGGAAAACCTGAACTGACGTTTGCTCCGATGCAGCTTTAAAGAGCGGGTTTTGTGGGGAAATTTCAGGCAAAAGCTTGGACACGGAGCACTAAAAAGCGCAGGCATCCGCTGGAAAGAGTGAAACGTAAGTGTGGATAAGCCCTAACATGAGACAATGGAGATATTGAAAAGCTGGAAGGTGGGCAGAGGAGGGTGACCAAGATGAACAAGGAAGACAAGCCTTAGCAGGAACGGTTGAGGGAGCTGGGTGTGTTTAGCCCGCAGAGGAGAATCACAGAATCATAGAATTGGAAGGGAACCCCAAGGATCCTGTAGTCTAACCACCGCAACACAGGAATCTCATCTAAAGCATCCATGATGGTTGGCCATCTGAAGACCGAGAGCTGATATGATAGACATCTTCAGACATCTGGAAGGCTGTTGCATGGAAGATGGAGAAAGCTTGTTTTTCTGCTGTTCTGAAGGGGAGGACCTGAACCAATGGATTCAAAGGACAAGGAAGGAGATTCTGAAAGGTGCATATAGTATTCTGCTAGAATGGGAAACAAAAGATGAGGAGGTGCAATCGGTCATGATCAAATGGGCACAAGATATAGGACATAATATACAATTGGAAGATTGGGAAAAATTGTGCAGAATAGGTTTAAAATTTACAGACTGTTCTCTTCTGAAAGAATATTATATGAAAATGATGTATAGATGGTATATAACAGCAGTACAGATTGCAATAATGTATAAAACCGGATCAAATGTATGCTGGAAGTGTAAAGAAAAAGAAGGGAACTTTTACCATATGTGGTGGGAATGTAGAGAAATTTTAAAAAAATGGGAAATGATATATAATGAGTTGAAGAAAATGTTTAAATTAACATTTGTAAAAAAAAAACAAACAGAAGCATTTTTGTTAGGGATCATAGGAAAAGACCTGCAAAGGAAAATAAAGAATTTATTTATGTATGCGACAACAGCGGCAAGAGTCTTGATAGCACAAGGATGGAAGAATGAGGAAACCCCAACAAAAGAACAGTGGCAAGAAAAATTGATGGACTATGCAGAATTGGCGAAATTGACATACAAACTGCGAGACAAGGACAACTGTGACTTTAAAGAAGAATGGGAACTTTTTACAAGCTACTTAAAAAAACAACAACATGAATTGGACTCCTTTGCAGGTTTTGAATAAACATACACAAATTTATTGATTATTAACATACTAGGCAGATAATTTAAGGATCTTTACAATTTCACAATATGCAGAGAATAACATGTGTTGAAAAATCAGAGAGGAGCTGAGGGAAGTCTTGGGGGTTCTTCCTGGGGTTGCGGAAGGGGGAAAAGGGGGGGGAAACAATGAAGATGATATGTTTTGATAATTTGTTACATTGAAATTCTTAATAAAAATTATTTTTTAAAAAAAAGGACAAGGAAGGAGATTCCAACTAAACATCAGGAAGAACTTTCTGATGGAAAGAGCTATTTGACAGTGGAACGGACTCTCTCAGAAGGTGACAGAGGCTTTGAAGCAGAGGCTGGGTGGCCCTCTGTCAGAGAGCGAGCTCTTCAGCTGAGATTCCTGCATTGCAGGGGGTTGGACTAGATGACCACAGGGGAACCCGTTCCAACGCTACAGTTCCAGGAATCTATAAGTGAACAGGCAGTTGAGCAGAGTCCTTGGGAGCCATGTGGCTTACAGGTTTTGAACTAACACACCCAAGGGCCCACAACTGCCTGCCTGCCTGCGCATTCCCAGCTAGCTGCTTTGGAACGAGTGCCTTTTCACAACGCAGACACAGGAAAATGCAACTTTCTCCAGAAGTTCCTGGGATTCCAAACAGGCGAGAAATACAGTGGTACCTCGCAAGACGAATGCCTCGCAAGACGGAAAACTCGCAAGACGAAAGGGTTTTTGGTTTTTTGAGTTGCTTCGCAAGACGATTTTCCCTATGGGCTTGCTTCGCAAGACGGAAACGTCTTGCAAGTTTGTTTCCTTTTTCTTAACACCGTTAATACAGTTGCAACTTGACTTCGAGGAGCAACTCATAGAACGCGGTGTGGTAGCCTTTTTTGAGGTTTTTGAAGACTTTGGTGATTTTTGAAGCTTTTCCAAAACTTTTCCGAAACCGTGCTTTGCAAGACGAAAAAAATCGCAAGACGACAAAACTCGCGGAACGAATTAATTTCGTCTTGCGAGGCACCACTGTACATGTTGGAGTTCTTGTTATTAAATATACCAAGAGAAAAGAGCACACCAAGAACTCAGACTGTTTTACAATTTATGTAAATTTAAAATATAATTGTATTTTCATGTAATATTTGATACTTCCAGCTGATGAAGGTGAATACATCGAAACAGGGCCCTGTCCTGGTTTCTGATCCATAACTGACTTCTGACTTCTGCTCAGTGATTTAAACTAAGACTTTCACGTCAAATCTGACTATGGACTAACATGAAGTTACTGGTTTCTGATCCCTAATTGGATATACATATCCTTATGAGTTTGAGTTTGTAAACTCTGTTTGAGTTTGTAATCTCTATATGAGTTTGTAATCCTTGTCAGAATACATGCTTTTGAACGGATTAGTTTTTGTTACAATTGACTATTGATTTGCGAGTAGGGACCACTCCCACTATTGAAACTTATACAGTGGCACCTCAGGTTACATACACTTCAGGTTACAGACTCCGCTAATCCAGAAATAGTGCTTCAGGTTAAGAACTTTGCTTCAGGATGAGAACAGAAATCATGCTCCGGCGGCGCGGCAGCAGCAGGAGGCCCCATTAGCTAAAGTGGTGCTTCAGGTTAAGAACAGACCTCCGGAACGAATTAAGTACTTAACCCAAGGTACCACTGTATTTGGAAAGCAATTGCAATCAATTGACATCGCTTGTAGGGTTAAAAGAAGTTTTGTAAGAAGTTTTGTAAGTTTTGTAAGGAGTAATATAGGAATTATTGTGAAATTTTATCACATATGGTAGGAATGTAAAAAGGTGAAATGCTTCTGGGAGATGATGTATAATGAGTTGAAAAAAATGTTGAAATATACATTTATAAAGAAACCAGAAGCATTTCTATTGGGCATTGTGGGGAGTGATATAAATAGAAAGGAATGTAAGCTCTTTTTATATGCAATAACAGCAGCAAGAATATTATTGGCCCAAAAATGGAAGCAAGAAGAGTTACCGTCGATTGAAGAATGGAGAATGAAGTTAATGGACTATGCAGAATTAGATAAACTAACAGGAAGGATTCGAAACCGGCGAGACCAGAAATTCACGGAAGACTGGAGTAAATTTACGGACTATTTGAAAAGTAAATGTGAAGAACAGACGACGTTTGTAGGGTTGCAATAAGTTTTGTGAGGAGTATTATTAGAAGTATTGTAAAAATGGATAAGGGGGAGGATGATTTGTTAAGAGATGTAAAGGCAATATAAAGTTAAGAAATGCATAAGAAGTGGTGAAAACGGTGGATCATCAGAGGTGCTGATGGAAGTCCAAAAAGATTGTATAAGTGATAAGTTTTGTGGTACATTTTATAATTTATATGTTAAAATAAATAAAAAATATTATTTTTAAAAAAGGAATTATTGTGAAAAGAATTAGGAATAGGTATTAAGATTTGAATTTACAACAAAATTAGGAAGGATTTTAGAAAACCACCAGTTGAGGCTGAAGGAAGTCTTAGGCTGTGATAGCCAAAGATTTTGAAATGATGTTTAAAAGGATGATATGCTGGAAAATATGTGGAAAAACCAATAAAAAATTATATATATATATATATATATATATATATATATATATATATATATATGCAGGTTTTGGTGTTCTCGGGTGTCTTCCCGTGTAAAAGTTGGGGTGTCTAGGCGACGTTTCGACGAGGTCTCACTCGTCATCTTCAGGCTGGTGCTTTCGGCTTCTTGTTACTGGAACAGAGCAGGATCTCAGTGTTTGAGTTCCTATAAATACTGTTGAGGAGGTGTGGTGTATAGCCTCCAATGTTCTGGGCAGAGAGGAAGTTCCCAGGCTAGTGTGCCTTTTCTTCTTTTGTTCCTTAATTACTTGAGGGATATCTTGAGTGATTTCTTGAGTGATATCCTGAGTACCACTTAGGTGGGTCATTAGGTGTGGATTAGTTGCTAAAGCCTTCGTGTCTTGACCTCTTGAACTTTGTGAAGAGTTTTTCTGAGAAGATGGCTGTACTGCACTTAGTTGTGCTCTGGCTTGGCTTCGTGTATAGGGGCGAGCTGTGGTTTTGTGGCCTGTGCCAGCCAGATCTGTGTAGGGATTGCAGGGGGGTGCAGCATCCGGAGGTGCCACCATGGTTTGGCTACTGGATGGTGTCTGTAATTTATCTGTGGAGAGGGTCTGGGTTTGGGTCTGGTGTGGTTGGTTGGTGATATATATATGAGAGAGTACCCAAGGGAGGTACTGAACAGGGCCCGGAAAGTTCTCACCTGGCAGAGAGGCCTGTGGGCATTTGGCCCACAGACTCAAGATTCCCTACCCCTGTACCACAGAATCAGAAAATCATAGAGTTGAAAGGGACACCGGGGGATCATCTAGTCCAACCCCCTGGAATGCAGGAATATGCAGCTGTCCCTTACGAGGATCGAACCTGCAACCTTGGCAGTATGAGCACCGCACTCTAACTAATGGAGCCATCTGTCATGGAGGCTTTAGCTGAGATTCCTACATTGCATAGATGACCCTTGGGGTCCCTTCCAACTTTAAAATTCCAGGATTCTATTATCTGTCTAACATTTTACTCAGCAGTTTTTCCTGCTGACACGCTAAAGGAAACACCAATCTAGAATAAGTATTTGCTTCTCTCCCTGCTGCCCCAGCATGTTTCAAAGGCCAGGAAAAACAATGGCGAAGTCTTCCCTGCCCTGAAAATGCAGCCACAGGGAAAGCCGCAGCTGGCCTCTTTGGGCCTGCCAGGCATTGATTGGGCTAAGACAGGCACAGGATCCCCGCCAAGGTTCACAGCAGAATCCAAAAGAAACACAGGCCTCTATTATCCCTCCCAGGTTCTGCAGCACGCCCATTTCTCAGACGACTCACCTATGAAGTTGCCGAGGAAGAGCCCAGGGAGAATCTGTTGGACACAAAAAGAAAAGTCGCTGTCAGTTGCAGGAGCTCTGAAGGATTTCTGGCAGGAGTTTCTCCCAACACTTTCTGGAGGGGTGAAATATACTCGGAGTCGAGTGTGGATTTCCTGCTCTTCATTCAGCTCATAGTGGTGAGGAGGAATGAAAGTTCCCCTGAAATGTCTGTTTTATATACATTATTTACACAATGGGCCCCATGTGATTGGCTAGTTCCGGGATTCTCTTGTAGGCCAATCAGGCTGCGGATTCACTTCCACCTGGAGTTGGATTGGGTGGCTCCTGTGGACCAATCAGATTGCTGCATTTTGAATCCTATTGTTCTAGAACCAGTCAGACTGCTGCATTTTTAATCCTATTGTTCTAGAACCAGTCAGACTGCTGCATCCTGAATCCTATTGTTCTAGGACCAATCAGACTGCTGCATTCCGGATCCTATTGTTCTAGGACCAATCAGACTGCTGCATCCTGAATCCTATTGTTCTAGGACTAATCAGACTGCTGCATCCTGAATCCTATTGTTCTAGGACTAATCAGACTGCTGCATCCTGAATCCTATTGTTCTAGGACCAATCAGACTACTGCATCCTGAATCCTATTGTTCTAGGACTAATCAGACTGCTGCATTCCGGATCCTATTGTTCTAGGACCAGTCAGACTGCTGCATTCCGGATCCTATTGTTCTAGGACCAGTCAGACTGCTGCATCCTGAATCCTATTGTTCTAGGACTAATCAGACTGCTGCATCCTGAATCCTATTGTTCTAGGACTAATCAGACTGCTGCATCCTGAATCCTATTGTTCTAGGACCAATCAGACTACTGCATCCTGAATCCTATTGTTCTAGGACTAATCAGACTGCTGCATCCTGAATCCTATTGTTCTAGGACCAATCAGACTGCTGCATTCTGGATCCTATTGTTCTAGGACCAGTCAGACTGCTGCATTCTGAATCCTATTGTTCTAGGACCAATCAGACTGCTGCATTCCGGATCCTATTGTTCTAGGACCAGTCAGACTGCTGCATTCCGGATCCTATTGTTCTAGGACTAATCAGACTACTGCATCCTGAATCCTATTGTTCTAGGACCAATCAGACTGCTGCATTCCGGATCCTATTGTTCTAGGACCAATCAGACTGCTGCATTTCGGATCCTATTGTTCTAGGACCAATCAGACTGCTGCATCCTGAATCCTATTGTTCTAGGACCAATCAGACTGCTGCATTCCGGATCCTATTGTTCTAGGACCAATCAGACTGCTGCATCCTGAATCCTATTGTTCTAGGACCAATCAGACTGCTGCATCCTGAATCCTATTGTTCTAGGACTAATCAGACTGCTGCATTCCGGATCCTATTGTTCTAGGACTAATCAGACTACTGCATTCTGAATCCTATTGCTCTAGGACTAATCAGACTGCTGCATTCCGGATCCTATTGGTCTAGGACTAATCAGACTGCTGCATCCTGAATCCTATTGTTCTAGGACTAATCAGACTACTGCATCCTGAATCCTATTGTTCTAGGACCAATCAGACTGCTGCATTCCGGATCCTATTGTTCTAGGACTAATCAGACTGCTGCATTCTGAATCCTATTGTTCTAGGACCAATCAGACTGCTGCATTCCGGATCCTATTGTTCTAGGACCAGTCAGACTGCTGCATTCCGGATCCTATTGTTCTAGGACCAATCAGACTGCTGCATTCCGGATCCTATTGTTCTAGGACCAGTCAGACTGCTGCATTTCGGATCCTATTGTTCTAGGACCAATCAGACTGCTGCATCCTGAATCCTATTGTTCTAGGACTAATCAGACTACTGCATTCTGAATCCTATTGCTCTAGGACTAATCAGACTGCTGCATTCCGGATCCTATTGCTCTAGGACTAATCAGACTGCTGCATCCTGAATCCTATTGTTCTAGGACTAATCAGACTGCTGCATTCCGGATCCTATTGTTCTAGGACCAGTCAGACTGCTGCATCCTGAATCCTATTGCTCTAGGACTAATCAGACTGCTGCATTCTGAATCCTATTGCTCTAGGACTAATCAGACTGCTGCATTCCGGATCCTATTGGTCTAGGACTAATCAGACTGCTGCATCCTGAATCCTATTGTTCTAGGACTAATCAGACTGCTGCATTCCGGATCCTATTGTTCTAGGACTAATCAGACTGCTGCATCCTGAATCCTATTGTTCTAGGACTAATCAGACTACTGCATCCTGAATCCTATTGTTCTAGGACTAATCAGACTACTGCATCCTGAATCCTATTGTTCTAGGACCAATCAGACTGCTGCATTCTGGATCCTATTGTTCTAGGACTAATCAGACTGCTGCATTCTGAATCCTATTGTTCTAGGACCAATCAGACTGCTGCATTCCGGATCCTATTGTTCTAGGACTAATCAGACTGCTGCATTCTGAATCCTATTGTTCTAGGACCAATCAGACTGCTGCATTCTGAATCCTATTCAATTCAGTACATAACAGGGGGATTGAACCTGAGGCATTCTGCTTGCAAGGGAAATGCTCTAAGTGCAAACCATAAACATTTAAAGCACATGACTTCCCCTATAGACTCCTGGGGGCGATAGTTTGTTAACGGTGCTGGGAATTGTAGCTCTGTGAGGGGCAAACTACAGTGCGCATAGGCAAAGTGAAGCAATGCAAACACAGAACTTCTTCGTTGTTGTCTTCTTTACATTATTTTTATTTATTTTCATGGTACAGAGGCTCTCCCCATGCTGTTGGAGGTTTCTCTGAATTCTGACTAGGGTTGCCAGACCTCCAGGTCCAACCTGAAGTTCCGGTTAATCTGGCCCTCTCCAGCTGGCAGGTGGAGGATTTGAACATCCGTGTCAGCAAGTGTGCTTTTAATTTAAAAAGAAACTTGTTGAGAAGACTTTGCATGCAACTTTGAAGCTTTTGCCTAGCAGGAGCTGGCTGCAAAATATAGCATAGACACTTGGGTGGGGAGAGGTCCTGCGTTCCTCCCCTCCCCTCTCCCAATTAACTTCCGTCTCCAGAGGCCACTCCCGTGACATCACCAGAACCCGCCCTTAAGTCTCAGGTTTGAGCCCTGAAATTTCAGTGCCTGGGATGCTCTGGATCTGGCAACTCTGACAGCATTCAGGCTCTGTGGGGCTTCATTCAGCGTGTGAGTGCCCTGAAACACAAGCACACATGACTCTTCCTTTTCCTTTCTCTGTGGTTCAAAGGCATCTGACCTCTCCAGGGCTGTTGGTTTCACACATCTCTGCATATCTGCCAACTTACAGATTTGAAAATAAGGGACCAGCAGCCTCGAAAATAAGGGGCCAGCAGCCAAAATAAGGGATTTTCCAAGCACAGGTATGTTCAACTTCTGAGCCCCTCCGAGCCAAAGGCAGAAAGCCCAGCCAGCAGCCAAACAAAGCCTCAAGCGGTGGTTCCCACAGTGCAGCAACCCGGCAAAGGGGATGCAGCAAGGAAAACCACCGTCACCTCTCCGCTGGGAAGCGCTGAGCAAAGGCGAGTCCCCAGGCAACGCGGCCGATTTGATCAGCACAAGGCATGCAAGCTCCACCCCCCAGTCTTAGACTCCTTATTGGTTGAGCAACGCAGCCAAGCAACACAGTTGGAGCCTCCCTCCTCCCTGGCCGGCAGAGAGGGAGGGAGAGGAGCTGCTTCCTTTGAAACCCAGGAAATTTAAGGGACATCATCAATAAGGGACAGCAGCGGGACACGGCGCTGGGATAAGGGAGTTTCTCGCCAAATAAGGGACGGTTGACAGCTATGCTTCTCTGTTTGCTGTGCTGCCAAAGTGCTGAACTGAGATTTGAGGAAAGCTGCCGGGCCTGGCAAGCTCTTAGGAGGTGGGGGGGGGGTTGAAAGATCTGAGAAATCGGGAGCCTCCTATCGGCTCCGCTGGAATAATTCTGATTTCCTGGTGTTGGCTGGGTTTGGCCAATACCCCTTTGCAAACCTGCCACAGTTGCTACTGCCATCACCATTGACCACAGACCAAGACCACCACTGATGGGCAGCAAACACTGAAGCACCCTGCAGGGTCCTTTGCAAGCTCTGGACGGCCCTTTGACATCCCAATTTAAGGATGTCAAAGCACAAAGTAACTTGACATTGTGACACCAGGTGGTTGGTAAAGGAGCAGCCTCGCCCACCTTTCAGATAAGGTCCAGGAGGATAGGATCTAGCTTATACCCCTGCACTACAGCATACAAAATAGGCACTATATGCCCCCTATTCTGTAAGCTCCAGCACCTCTTTGAAGATGAGAGTCATCCATAACACCATCTATTCCTCTTGGGGATGTATGCCCAATAATAGCATTAAAGGGAAACCTCAAAGCTACGGTATATTGGTTTCATAACTGCCTGCAGACTGCCTCGTCAGAGTGGTGCATGCTCTAGTTATCTCCCACTTGGACTACTGCAATATGCTCTACGTGGGGCTACCTTTGAAGGTGACCCAGAAACTACAACTAATCCAGAATGCCAGTGTGGTGTAGTGGTTAAGAGCGGTAGTCTCGTAATCTGGTGAACCGGGTTCGCGTCTCCGCTCCTCCACATGCAGCTGCTTGGTGACCTTGGGCCTGTCACACTTCTTTGAAGTCTCTCAGCCCCACTCACCTCACAGAGTGTTTGTTGTGGGGGAGGAAGGGAAAGGAGATTGTGAGCCGCTTTGAGACTCCTTAAAGGGAGTGAAAGGCGGGATATCAAATCCAAACTCTTCTTCAAATCCAATGCGGCAGCTAGACTGGTGACTGGGCGCGGCCGCCGAGACCATATAACACATGTCTTGAAATACCTACAGTGGCTCCCAGTACGTTTCCAAGCACAATTCAAAGTGTTGGTGCTGACCTTGAAAGCCCTAAACAGCCTCAAAGGTCCAGTATACCTGAAGGAGCGCCTCCACCCCCATCATTCTGCCCGGATACTGAGGTCCAGCGCCAAGAGCCTTCTGGCAGTTCCCTCACTGCGAGAAGCCAAGTTACAGGGAATGAGGAAGAGGGCCTTCTTGGTGGTGACGCCTGCCCTGTGGAACACCCTCCCACCAGATGTCAAAGAGAACAACAACTACCAGGCTTTTAGAAGATATCTGAAGGCAGCCCTGTTTAGGAAAGCTTTTAATGTTTAATAGGTTATTGTATTTTAATATTCTGTTGGAAGCTGCCCAGAGTGGCTGGGGAAACATAGCCAGATGGGCGGGGTATAAATAATAAATTTATTATTATTATTATTATTATTATTATTATTATTATTATTATTATTATACCCGTTCTCAATGAATCCTGGGAGGAAGGACTGTGGAATCACCCCACTAAGGCTCCTTGTGGGATGGCAGCTTCCTGGAGAGTAGGAAGGCATATCTGTTGAACCAGTTTAGTTCTGCAACGGAGGCAGAATTCTGTCGCATTCTCAAGACAGAGATAGTTGGCAAGCTGGGTGGTTGCGGGTGAAGGTGGTTGCCTGCTTTAGACAGAAGCACAAAAAAGAACCTCTGCACGTTGGGAGAGCTCTTTGACCTCTCCTTGCTGTTGGATTCCCAGGGGGACATAAGAAGAGCCCGCTGGATCAGGCCAATGGCCCATCTAGTACAGCATTCTGTTCACACTGTGGCTGGCTGAGCAGTTGGCTGTGGGAAACTACTGGCATGCAGGATTCGAATACAAGAGCAGCTCTCTCCTCCTGCAGTTTCCAGATGCTGGCTAGCAGCCATCAACAGCCCCCTCCTCCCTGAAGGAAACAGTGCCAAAAGACACCTGGTGAGCAGTTTGGGCTTGTGAGCTACCTGCAACCTTTCCTTCCAAGCCACATCCTTGCCACCGTCACCTGTGCACTGCTAACTTTGTACCAGAAGAGAAGTTGCTGGTCCCAGCCCTACCATTGGACAATGTGAGGGGATCACAGCTGCAGCCCCCAGCTGCCCCTCCTAAGCCCCCTAGCCATTGTTCTCTGTGGGGGACAGAGCTGTGCAGGCGACACAACCTACTGTGCCCGCCCCCAAACTAATGTGTGAACAGGCACTATTATAGCTACCATGTACCTATGGGACCGCCTCTCCTGGTATGCCCCGCGGAGGACCTTAAGCCCCACAAATGACAACACTTTGGCGGTCCCAAGTCGCAAGTTGGTCTCAACTAGGTCCAGGGCCTTTTCAACACTGGCCCCGACGTGGTGGAACGCTCTGTCACAAGAGACAAGGGCCTTGCGGGACTTGACATCTTTCCGCAGGGCCTGCAAGACAGAGCTGTTCCGCCTGGCCTTTGGTTCAGACTCAGTCTGACCCTTATGTTTCCCTCCCCTTATGGTTTTTGATCTATGGGCTACTTTTAAAATGAGGCTGCATTTTAAACTGCATTTTAACCTGTATTTTAAATTGTCCCCCCCCCCATTATGTTTTTACTGTAATTTTACTGGTGCTAGCCGCCCTGAGCCCGGCTCTGGCCGGGGAGGGCGGGGTATAAATAAAATTATTTTATTTATTTATTTATTTATTATGTGTAAGAAATTGATTCTGCCTACACTTTGGAACTCCCTGCCTCATGACACCAAGCAGGTACCTACCCTGCACTTTTTTTCCAGTGCCTGCTAAAAAAATTCTTGCTTGGGTAAGCCTACACAGACATGAAGGTGTATGTTTTAATCTACTTTTAGTTTATTGCTGTTTTTATCTTTTGACTGTTTCTACTGATAAGTTTATTGTTTCATTCTCTTTCCCCCTCTAATCACGCGGTGGGAGAGAGCTGCACCATCGCTAGGTGTGTCAAATTCAAAGATCCAACTGCTAGACCAGCTGGCATCTGTGTCTGCTGCGGGGAGGGGGGTCCTCCCTTTCAAGTGGCAAAAATGTCTGGGTCCCACCCTGAGGGCTGGGGTGTGTCCCTTAAATCAGAGGAGGTTCATTGTGGCAATAATAATAATAATAAATTTATATGCCGCTCATCTGACTGGGTGACCCCTGCCACTCTGGGTGGCTTCCAATAAATTAAATTTGTGAAACATCTCTGGGACGTGGAGCTGGAGGCCCTATGGATATTGCTGAACTTTTATCATCCCTGACAGGGGCTGGTAAGAGCTGGACCCTAGCTATACTTGCTTATTCCATTTCCCAAGATTTATAAACCCCTTGCATACAAAATCTCAAAGCGGTTTACAAAAATAATAAAACCATAAAATTATCCATTTAAAAATCCCAGTTAAAAACAACTATTTAAAACATTCAAATAAGTAAATAAATACTTGGACAGCATACTTGTTTCCCCCCATCCATCCCTGCTTGAAACAAACCCTCTTTCTCAGCCTTCCCCGCCCCCCAGGCTGGTGCCCTCCAGAATCTAGAACCCCCATCAGGCCTTGCCAGCCACAAAGGTACACTCCGTAGCAGCTTTGTCCAATCGTTTTCACAGATAAAGTTTCCTCTACACATCATTAGTCATACCTTGTTCATGCCATTGCCCATGGTCCAAATCACACTCTAGGCAGAGAGCAGAAGTTGTCCTGGGTGTGTGTGTGTGTGTGTGTGTGTGTGTGTGTGATTCTCTTCCACAAAACCCCCAGCAAGAGGGATGGAGCAGGGAGCGAGGTTTCTCTCCCTAGGCCTGGCAGAGTTTCCCACTGCCCCCCTTCACTTCTTAGGACCAGGCAGGAGGTGGAAAGGATCTCTCCAAGGTAGTAGCTCTGCTTGCCCCTTGGGGAGCCGATAAATCAGCTGCAGACCTGCTGCAAACGCCCAGCCTCTTTCTCCTGCTCTGGAGAAAGCTCCTTTCCTCCAAGATGGCAAAGACGCTACTCCTGGAAATGCCCTTTTCCTGGCCGCCTCCTGTGGCTGGCACGCTGACAGTAGAGGATAAACTCCACCTCTTTCGTAATCGTGGGGGTGTGTTTGTGTGTGCCAAGGGCAGGCGGTGCTGCTGCTGCTGCTCCACCGCCGGGACAAAGCTCCAGTGTTCAGAGAGAACAAAACCTTTAGTCTCCCTGGCTCGGTGACAAGCCAGGGCTGTTGGGGCATGCAGGGGAGAAGAACGGTGCGCAATTACGCAGCAGCCTGCCACTTCTCTGCTCAGTTCCCGGGACATCCCTGCAAAAAAACCACAACGCTTTCTGGGGAGCTGTCCCAGCAGCACACAGGCCTCTGGATCAGGGGTGAACATGGCAGGCCTCCTCTAGTGTAATGTTGCGCAGTTAAGGCAGGCAGAAGGCTGCTTGGGATCTGCAACTCGAAATCTGTGCTTCACTCCAGCAGGAGAGAGTGTGGGAGGCCGCCAGAATGCAATGTTCCCGGCGCGGAATGTACGAGCGCAGGGCCGCCTGCCTGCCGCAGATCGAGTTACATGTCTCTTTACGAAAATAGAATCGGCAAAGCACGAGGCCACCTTAGTTGGGCGGAGAGAGAGACCTCTCCGGAGCGATCGCCGGTGCTTCCTATTGGTTTAGGAGGAGGAAGAGCAGCAACGGAGTAAAATGGGATCGCGTGTGGCTGGCTCTGCCTTTATTTTTATTTTTTTTAATTCTATCTTTATTAACTTAAAATAAATACATTTATGAAAAACAGACGTACATACAAGTAAACAAACATACAATCAAACAAATAACAGAAAAATCAAACCACCACACTAAGATATAAGAAGATTAATATAATTATCATCATATACACTCCTGGTATTGAACACAATTATAAAATTTATAGGAAAGAAATTTAAAACTGACTTCCAATGAATCTCACTGTACTTTGTCTATCCATTACTTTATACCGCACAGTTACATATTTCTTAGATAATTTCTTTTTACCTCCCTACAAACTTCTATTTATACAATACAGGGATCAGTCTAATTCTGCCAAGATTTTTCCTTTTATTCCATAGTTTTCTAAAGATTCTTTAAAGATTCTCCAATCCTTATACTGTAGGCTGGCTGGCTCTGCCTTTAAAGCTGCAGAACGATAATAAATGCTGGAAATGTAAAGAAACTGAAGGTACATTCTTTCACCTTTGGTGGACGTGCCCAAGGATTAAGGCTTTCTGGGAGATGATTTATAATGAAATGAAAAAGGTATTAAAATATACTTTCCTGAAGAAACCAGAGGCCTTTCTCCTGGGCATAGTTGGCCAATTGGTGTCAAAGAAGGATAGAACTTTCTTTGTGTATGCCACAGCAGCAGCAAGAATACTTATTGCAAAGCATTGGAAGACACAAGATTTACCCACTCTGGAAGAATGGCAGACGCAAGTAATCGACTACATGGAAATGGCAGAAATGACTGACAGAATTCGAGATCAGGGAGAAGAGTCGGTGGAAGAAGATTGGAAGAAATTTAAAACTTATTTACAGAAATATTGTAAAATGTATGAATGTTGATGACATTGAAATGAAATGAAGGGGTTCTAGCAACAAGACATAACGTAAGACTGGATTGATAATAGATGAAAATCTGAAATGATAATTTGGGAGGAAAACTAACTAAGGATAAAGTAGTAGAATATGAATTTGCTGAACCAATTTTCAAAAAGGGATACAAAAAAGGGAGGCGTGAGAAGTCAGGAAAATAAGTTAATCAAAGATGAGAAATGAAAAAAGAGGGATTTGTGTTTTTTCTCTTTGTGCGCGCTTATTAGCTTTTTCTGGTCTCTTTCTTTTTTCTTTGTTAGGTTAAATGTTAGTATTTTTGTATGTTTTAATTTTGTATTGTTATTTTTCTTGTGTTTTCTATTGTTTGTTGTTCTGGTATTTTCTTATTGTTAAAAACTTAATAAAATATTATTATATATATAAAAAAATAAAGCTGCAGAACGACACCATCCTCATGAATTGATGGGAGCGAGTAAGCAAATCAGAAGAGCTTGCCACCCCAAAGTTAGCTCAGGTGGTTAGAGCGTGGTGCTGATAATGCCAAAGTCCAGGGTTCAATCCCCATGCAGGCCACCTGCATATTCCTGCCTTGCAAGGGGTTGGTCTGGATGACCCTCTGGGTCCCTTCCAACTCTACAACTGTGATTCTATTCTCACAGTGGCCAAAACCAGATGTCCTCAAATGGGAAGCCTACAGACAGTACCGGAGTGCAACAGCAGCAATTATACTGCTGTCCATTATACCAATAAGTCCAGTGTCCAGTTCAAGGAAAGTAACAGCATCACTCCATTCAGCCATGGTCAAACCACACAGGGGAGCCCTGTGTCCAGTTATGGGTGCCACAATTTAGGAAGGATGTTGACAAGCTGGAAGGTGTGCAGAGGAGGGTGACCAAGATGATCAGAGGTTTGGAAACCAAGCCTTATGAAGAATGGTTGAAGGAGCTGGGCATATTTAGCCCTGGAAAAGAGGAGACTAAGAAGAGATATGATAGCCATTTCCCAATATCTCAAGGGCTGACACATGGGAGATGGAGCAAGCTTGTTTTCTCCTGCTCTGGAGGGTAGGCCTTGAAGTTACAAGGAAGGAGATTCCGACAAAACTTCAGGAAGAACTTTCTGACAGCAAGAACTGTTCAACATTGGAACGCTCTCCCTCTGGAGTTTGTGGACTCTCCTTCTTGGGAGGTTTTTGAACAGAGGTCAGGTGGCCATCCGCCATGGATGTTTTTGTTGAGACTCCTGCACCGCAGGTGGTTGGACTAGATCACCCTGAGGGTGGCTTCCAGCTCCAAGATTCCATGATTCTATAAAGTGTTGTCTATTTGCAGATTACCGTATTTTTCGCTCTACAGTATAAGATGCACCAGACTATAAGATGCACCTAGTTTTTGGAGGAGGAAAACAAGAAAAATAATATTCTGAATCCCAGAAGCCAGAACAGCAAGAGGGATCTGGCTTTAGGGATAGCCTCTTGCTGTTCTGGCTTCTGGGATAGCCACTGAAGCCTCTCCCGGGCAGCAGGATGAAGGTTCCCCCAAGAGCCCACTCCCTTTAAAGAGTGCGCGGAGCGTGTGTGTGACTCTTGGGGGCTTTCTCCCTCCCCCAAGAGCCGCACACACGCTCCACGGGGCTCTTTAAAGGGAGCACTGAGCAGAGCCTCCCGCCTGCATTCGCTCCATAAGACGCACACATATTTCCCCTTACTTTTTAGGAGGGGGAAAGTGCGTCTTATAGAGCGAAAAATACGGTAGTTGCGCTGCAGACAGCCAATAATTATCGCCCTGGCTTTCGCATCTCCTTTTGACCAAGCATTAGTCACAGGGTCAGGAGGGTCATCAGTTACATAGGTCCACACTTCTTGACAAGTCAAAAGTGCCTCCACCCGAAATGACCATAAATTGTAGTTCTCACCTGTGGGAACGTCAGGGCTTTCTCAGCTTCTGGAACCTGGTCAACCATTCTGGAACTCTTCCAGACCCACACCAACAGGAGAAGGAGTTCTCAAACCTTTCTCAAAGTCCAAAAATGTGCAGTCATCCACTCAGCAGCTGGGCCCATAACCAAAGATGGTGGCTACTTGCAGATTAGCTGCGCTGCAGAAGGCGTGCTGGGGAGACCACACATTCAAGAAACGCAAAATGACTTTTGCTAGGTTTTAATAACAAAAACAAAAACCCCTTTTACACTAAATTACAATACAGTGGTACCTCAGGTTACATATGCTTCAGGTTACATACGCTTCAGGTTACAGACTCTGCTAACCTAGAAATATTACCTCGGGTTAAGAACTTTGCTTCAGGATGAGAACAGAAATCGTGCTCCGGCGGCGCGGCAGCAGCAGGAGGCCCCATTAGCTAAAGTGGTGCTTCATGTTAAGAACAGTTTCAGGTTAAGAACGGACCTCTGGAACAAATTAAGTACTTAACCCGAGGTACCACTGTATATCAATAATCACGACCCATCCACCAGGGTACTGAGAGAGCTACATGCTGCTCTTTATATACCATACCCAACAGCTTAATTACTACAACTTAACAGCACTTGCTATACTGCTTCACGGCTGTAAAACTAGGTCATGTTATTTGCTCTGGCCTTTAAAGAAATACACACCATGTGGAACCATAATGAACCTTCAAATTTAAAGAGACCATTCAACATAAAGATGTTAATCAGCCAAAGTCCTGGTTAAAGAGGAGCCAGTTCTCTGCTGGCTATGCTTCCTTCTCACTCTTCATTGACTTTTTTAGATAATGTACGTACTACCCTTTGCACGAGCCACAGGGCAGTTCACAACAGGCAAATCCATAAAATAACACAATATTTAAAATAAAATAAAAACACCACAAAGGGCTTGTCCACACTGGATCTCTTCCCAATGTCATCCTGAACCTCCCTGTTGTTGTTTAGTCGTTTAGTTGTGTCTGACTCTTCGTGACCCCATGGACCAGAGCACGCCAGGCACTCCTGTCTTCCACTGCCTCCCGCAGTTTGGTCAGACTCATGTTTGTAGCTTCGAGAACACTGTCCAACCATCTCGTCCTCCATCGTCCCCTTCTCCTTGTGCCCTCCATCTTTCCCAACATCAGGGTCTTTTCCAGGGAGTCTTCTCTTCTCATGAGGTGGCCAAAGTCTTGGAGCCTCAGCTTCACAATCTGTCCTTCCAGTGAGCACTCAGGGCTGATTTCCTTAAGAATGGATACGTTTGATCTTCTTGCAGTCCATGGGACTCTCAAGAGTCTCCTCCAGCACCAAAACCTCCCTACCTGCTCCCTACCACTTTAAATGCAAGCTCTTTAAAAATACTGATTATTTTGGATTATCCAAGGATGGGGAAACCATGAAAAAAAAGTCCTGGGCACCACTGGGGTTGGGAGGGCGCAGTGTGGAAATCTCTGCATTAATGAGGAGGCAATTCGGTGCAAATCCACAATCTGCTCTGGTTTGTGGACAAGTTTGGGTGTCTGAAGATGGCAGGGTGTGGCTTCTCCTGTGGCCTAACCAAGAAATCTTGATCTTGCTGACCTGGTGTTCACCTGGGTGCCTCCCTTGGCAATTGCCTCACCAAGGAGCCATGCAATGAGCCAACATCTTCACTGTCAGCGGCCCTGGAGACCGGTTCTTGCCCTTGTCTGGCTGCCTGACCCAGCCAAGCCTTATCCGTCCCTGCTTTTCCAGCTTGGATGGTTGGATAACTCTGCCATTTGTTGTTCCTCTCTCCAGCATCCATCTTTTGGTTTCTAGGTGTCCTTGATCATCCTTGGTTTCGTAGGCACGCAAAGG